CCCAAAAAAAAAAAAAAAAATAATAATAATAATAATACTTAAAAACTGAACTCTTAACAATATATCATGAGTCTAGGGCCAGATTATAGTTATCTAAACAAAAGCCCAAAATTCAAAAATAAAACGTTGAAAAAATTATAAAAATAATAGAGAAATTCCTCAAATAATAGCTTATTTTACTAGTTAATGATTAGTCCCCGCTTGTACCTAACCGACAAATTGAACTTACACACCGCCATACACTCTCATTCTTTGAAACATTTACCATTGATACAAAATATTACAAATTTACACACAGCAAAAGGTTGAATTAAAGGGAAAGGGGAAGAATTGAGATGGATTTTTTTCTTAAAGAAAAAAAAAAAAAACGAAGTTAATGTGAATTATCGTGAATTGATGATTACCTTGAGAGCCGCAGCCCCTCCCCCATAACCGTCATACTGAACTGCACGCATCAGCTTCTTCGCCGGCATTTCCAGGGTTGGTAAGAAGCCAGGCCAATGAAGACTTTGCCTTCGGGGGAGAGAAAAGCGGAGAGAAGATTTTGTTACTGGAAAACGGCTACATCATGGCAATTCATCATGGAGGCAGCTTTGAATTACGGAAATGACCCTAATCAAAAGAGCTGACTATGGATAGAATTGAGATTGCGCAGAAATCATTGGCCGGCCACGTAGGAATCCCATGTTCTCATAAAAATATAAAATCTAAGAAAGAAAATTACGTACATTTTTTTTTTAGGAAAAAGAAACGAAAATGACAAACATTACTCACAAAAGAAATGGCATATAATAATAATAATAATAATAATAAGTTCGCAAAGTACCTAATTAAATTATTGATATGAAAAATGCTTTTTCATTTGTATAGTCAAAATTCAATCCTTCATCCTACCTCTTCACCCTTCTCCCTATGAGCATTTCAATTTATTAGCTTATTTCATAAAAATAACAATAATAGAGAAAAATAAAAATAAAAGTAATAATAACTATATGATGATTTTGATAAAATTATGGCTCATATTAATAATAACCACATGATAAATTTGATAAAGTTAGGAGTAATATTATACTTCACATATTTAATACTTTAATTAGATATTTTAACATTTAAAATGTCAAGTTATCTTGACTTTCACCAATCTAATAATAATGATAAGAGAGTTGTAAAAAAGGTTATCAACATCTTAACATTATGATATCAGTAACACTATAATTACTATATCATGTAAGATTAGAAGATTACAATTAAAATGTGTTATTAAATGAGTAAATACATATAATACTATTAGTAAACTCTTAAATAAAGAGTACTAATTATATAATAATATATTATGTTGTAAGCTTACATTTTCACATGATATTGTAGATATTCATTTTCATTATGATAATGAAAGTAGTTTACTAATATTTTTAATAAATTTCTGTTACATAATAAAGATTTAGTAAACATATTTAAATAAGTTTATAGATAGTATTGTCATTTTAAATGATAGGATATCTTGACTTCTTTTTTTTTTTTCTAATATTATTGTTGAGGGATGAATTTGTATTGTTGCAAAACCAATGATGTGTGTGGATCCACATCAGCAAGGGCCCACAACGCTCATTTCCCACATCAGACGTGTAGTTTCTATTTTTTTACTAATTGCTGCAATGGAATTAGCATTGCCAAAAATGACACTCATGCACTTTGCTGGAGACATCGCAAAATGTAAACTACTCCAGCATCTTTTTTCACATACATGGCTAGATATGGCTAGATCTATTTTGGTGACATGGCTGGGCATTTCTTGATGGTCATGTCCTCTGCAACGATGTTCACTACTGTATCCTGTGACTCCCAACAATGGATAAAAAGCCTACTTTACTACATGACTCCCGTCAAAGGACAACAATCTGATCTGTATAGCTCTTTGTGACAAGCAACGAGCCAAGCATTTATCTCTACATATCTCTATCACTAGTTCCCATCAATAGACAACGGGGTAATCCTATTACACTCACACAACTTCCGATGATGAACAAAGGGCTAGATTTGCTATCCCATTTAGCCTTTAGCAATGGACAAAAGGCTACACATTTCAACATATCTTCATTTCACTAGCTCTCGGCAATGGGCAAAGGGTTGGATTGCTACATATTCTATCTTAATGGCTCTCAAAAACGGACAAAGAGTCAATGCAACTCGATACGATTAGCCCAACGCAACTCAATACGATTAGCGTGAGGTCGGTAACAGTTGCAACCTTGCGATCGGACAGGATGGCTACCCTTCAACGATAAAAATCCATCAAGTAGTCACTGACGATCCCTTGGTGGTCGCCTGTGCATGCTGGTGCGGTGCTCAGTGAGCAACAATAAACAGGATCACCCTCTGATGGTGTAGGTACGGTAAGAAGGGCCAACGTTTGTCAATGGTATCACACCTTATCGTATCGGAGGCCATGAATGCGGCTGGCGTCCCCCTTCCATAGAGATAACTCCACCTTTCTCTATACATATTCATCGCTATGGCAGAGTCTGGTTTGATAAGATTTACCCCTTCGCAGCTTGGCAGATTAGTGGGAGTGCTCTTCCAATTCCACATAATTCACGCTTCAGTCATGGGCAAAACTAGCCACTATTGTCCTTCTGGCTGTGGGGAAGGTATGCATGGCTGACCTCACAATACATACATAATATGGCTGGAGGTCATGCACATTATCACATTTTACACAAAGGGACAAAATTACCGATCGCTGGTAATCCCGACTCATAACACATATTTTCTATGCGTTACATGTTGCAGGTATCGCCGGCTAGTGAAGCTTGGTTCAGGACAACGATATCACAGTACACACCCATATCACTTGTTACTAATTCTGGCACAACACCAACCATGTATAGTAGCAATATACTGACACTCGCCATGGCCAACAAGCAAATGGGAGTAGCGAACATTCATCCACATAGCCCCCTTTAATACGCAAAGGCGTTCCTTTATTTGCTGCATATATTTGTAAGTTTCTTATGCTTAAATACTTGAACATATATTCACTTGTGCTTTGTTGTTACTGCAAATAAACACAAGCCCATGAATCCAAGCTCATGGGAATTATTCGGGATACACTATAGGAGTAGTGGCTTGGCAGGCATGGATGGGTGAATGCTGCCCATCTGGCGAAGCAAGGCATCTGCACCAGCAAAGCTTAGTGCTAACGATTCTACCCAACTTCGCTAGAAAGGGGTTGGGTGGTGAAGACATGGAAATGAACTTAATTCCCAAAACAGTACCATTTGATGTTAACCAAAGGCTAGAAATCCCACTAAAAATTAACCAGAGATGCTGTCTTAGTCATCATCAACAACTTGCAGCCATATTTAATGCAAAGGTGGCTGCACAAGTTTCATGGCCTTGGAAACTACTGTAGAAGATTACTATTTACTTGTAGAATCTTCCAAAATCTCGTGTAGAGCTTGGGGAACTTACCAAATCCTGTGCAGATGTTTTTTCTGGTTGCACTCAAGCACCTCCCTAAAGATGGGATTGCGTATGGTTGGAGGCATTGCCAAAAATATACAATTTCCAGTTCTTTGCTAAAACCAGCAAAGCTTCATTGGAACCATTGGGCAATTCATGATGCCATTGTCATAAGAGCTGCCAATAATGCCCGGAGCCACTGAAAATTCGACAGTTCACCCAAACCCATCTGCACACTTCTAAGCCATCAACCAGAAATTACAACAATATCACTACATATATATATATAAAAATTATCTACCCTTCATTTTTAAAAACATATAAACGCATGCAACACAAAAACAAATTTACACACCCAACTTCAGCCTTTTTTCCTCACGTACCAAAACTCCCATTTTTCCTCTAAATATATATATATATATATATCATCTTCAACCTATTGTCTTGCACACTAAAACCACCCGGGAGTCACCATCTTTCTTGGATTTCTTGTGTCTACAACTCTGCAGAACATTTCCCAGCTCTATAGAACATTTCCCAATACTGCAGAACATTTTCCAGCTCTACAGAATATTTCCCAGTACTGCAGAACATTTTCTAGTACTGTAGAATATCACTCAACATCGTAGAACATTCCTAGGTTTGTAGGATGTTATGGCTGGGAAACAACATGCTGCAGTTTCAGCTTCCGAGTAGTTCTTCTTGAGCATCAGACGATCAAGGTTGCAAGGTTAGCATAAAAAACGGGATCAAGTGCTCCATTCGTAAGCTCCTAAGTGGTCATCTTTCCTTCTCCCATCACCACTCTCAAGTTTATCCTTTTGTCCTTGGAAGAGTTTCAAGAGTGGAGTTGTTGCAGTTTTCATTTTTAATATGAGGATTGTTTGTTATAGAGTAAAGATATACACTAAAGATGAAAGAGGCCACATTTATTGTCATTATAATCATGTGACAATGATTTATGTATGAATGTGATTCTCAAGTTGTAATCTTTGAATCACATGTATTTTCCATCTTTGCTGCCCCTCCATAACAACATACAACTTCCACCCATCATGTTTTTGATAGTTGTGTAATCATCTAAAATCCTTGGAATCCCGCCATTGCTGCCTAACTCCACTGGCTTGGCTGGAAGATTTATCTTTTTAAAAAGCTTCGTTGGAGAGTTCACTACAAGATATCATCATCCAATAGAGTGGGATGGCCTGTAGCATGTAGCCTTCTGCACGTGAGACGAGTGCCGCCGAAAGAACCCCCCTCATTTTCTCAAGTGTCATTCTAATCAGCCTCCACATCGTCATAGTTGCTGACTCATCCACCTACATCACCAACACTCCCAAACAATTATATAATAATCATAATAAAACCAAATGATCTAAATGGCCTAATGATAAGTAAAAGATTTTTGGTTTGACATGTAGATCAAATGAATTAAGTTTGTCTCCCAATCTAAAATTAAATAAATATTATGAAATAAAAGGAAAATGATAGTAAAATAGTAAAGCTTAGAAATGAACTTGTTACGCCCCAAAACCGAGAGCGAAACAGACATCACACACTTGTGAGAGGATCCCACAGATGCACAAGGCACGGAACTTACTAAATTCATTACTAACAGTCCACATAAATTTAGATCAATATTTCACAATAAAATCTAGCTTACAAAGAATAATCTACAACTCAAAATCTACATCCAAAATACAATGACTAGCCTTCTAGCTTGTCACTCCCCTTGGTTACCCACGTCTTGGGTCACACTACCTGAAATGGTGGACAAGGAAAAACTATATGAGATATCTCAGTACGTAAAATATAGATTATCCTCATTTATAGTTAAGCATGCCATCAAGTGTAATAAAATTTTTAGGAAAAACAATACGAATACGAGTAATGAAATAGACGTCTCCTTTATAGATCACAACCAGTGTTTATAAACCTCCCACTGGCAGGCACAAGATTTGCTAGTGTATAATCCCATTAGCAGGATAACAATATAACATGAATTGGTTCCACAATTAACATGTCGACATGTGCTAGCATCAATAAACCTCCCACTAGTGGGCACAGTAAAACATGACCATATTGGAGACAAAAAACTAGGAAGGATTTAACAGGAAAACCATAATTTACAAATAATTTCTAGATCATCAACTCAATGAAAATGATAATAATTTCATTTCAAACCAATCATGCTTGTGTTTGTGTAAAATAGGTTTAGTCCCACCACCATTTCAAAAACCATTAGAATTATGCTTTCAAAAACTTTTACCTCAAATCCAAGGCATTACCATACTTTTACTTTGCAAGTATTCAATGTTTCAAGGAGATGGTGGTGACTTAGAACCTATGCCACGTTAAAGAACAAACAAGATTACAATGTACCCCATTTAGTTAAATTTGGCTTCTAATCCCAAAAATCAAGTTTCTATCCAAGGTAACAATTTCTTCCTACACACCCTTAGTATTTCTACCCCTTTGAAATCTTAGTAACATATAAATATGTTTAACCACACTCAGAGTATGCTTAAAACAACTCTCATTGTCACACACACAGTAGCATTTATAGGCAAAACAGTAGTTATTTATTGGCAAAAACAGTAGAAATTTCTAGCAAGAACAGCAAAATTTTTCTAGACAAAACAGAAGCGATTTATGGTTTTAAAACAGGAGAAATTTTCGACAAGAACAACACAATTCTTCTAGGCAAAACAGTAGCAAAAACAGAAGCAAAATAGTTGAATTTTTGGGTGAACAGCAGAATTTTATGGCAAAAACAACAAGATTTTTCTGGGTTAAGCAGTGTAGAAAACAAGAAGGAAAATGCAGAAAAATGCAAGATTTTTCTGGTTAAACAGTGCAGAAAATAGGAAGGAAAAGTGCAAGAAAATGCAGAATTTTCTGGTTTAAACAGTGCAGAAACAACAAGGAAAAGTGCAGGAAAATGCAGAATTCTCAAAGCTAAAACAGTGTAGAAAAACAGCAAGGAAAAGTGCAGGGAAATGCAGAGTTTTCTGGTTTAAAACAATGTAGAGAAACAGCAAGAGAAAGTGCAGTAAAATGCAGAAAAATGCAATAGTAAAACGACCAAGATTGCAGAAAATGCAATAGCAAAAGCAGTAGCAACCAGCCAAGATTCAAGCAAAATGCAACCACAATGCAACCAAGATTCAAACAGTAAAATAGCAGCAAAACACTAGACAAACACTGTCACAATCTTTCAAGAAGATAAGGAGTGGAATACCCCATAAATCCTATGGATTTTCCCCAAATCTAAAATGGTTAATATTCAACTAAATCTACCAAAATTAGAGAAAGAACGAGGTTGGTTTCATGCTCACATCTTGCCAGAAAATTGAGAGAGAGAGAGAGAGAGAGAGAGAGAGAGAGAGAGAGTTCCTCCTAAAATGGAAACCCAAAAGGCAGAGACACAGGAACTTGAGGGGGGCTAGCATCTGCTTGTCGAAAAGGGAAACCCAGGGCTGCTGAAGGCGACACGTGACTGTGGTGGAGTGGGGAACAATGAGCTGCTACTTAAGGGATTTATGAGATGTGGGTGAGAAGGTTTAGAGGAGCAGGATTGGTGATGAGAGTTGGTGAAGGATGGAGGATGGTGGTGACGGACTGAGGATGGTGGGGGATGAGTTAGGGTTTCAAAACAAGAAGAAGAATGGGGGAATTGGGGAGCTTATACTCCTGAAACCCACCCTTTTTTTTTTAACTCTACCCCCTCTTAAGTTTGAAATTTGTGACCATTAGGCCATGCAGAAGATAGTTTCTCCCACATAAGTCCCTAACTTAAATTCTAAGTTCTTAGAAATTTTGGGATATTACAAAACTTCTTCTTATTTCATCAACCATCACCATACAAACTTGTAGTCTTATATATAGGCTAAGAGAATATATGGGTTACATTAGTTATTAAATAGGACTTAAGTGGCCCCATGCATCATGAATACCCTTTAGTGAAGCTATGAATGCCCTAAAGTGGAGCCATGAATGGACCTAAATGGAGCCATGAATGATAAGTGAAAATTAGTTACAAATGAAAGATTGATGATGAAGATGAAGTTGAAACATTCATTAATAGAAAATTTCATAATACTCCTTCTTAGACAGTCACCTTTTTTTTTTTTTTTTTTGTTATACACTTTTAAATTGTCTCATGAAAAACTTTATCAGGAAAAACCTTGTAGGATAAAAACCTTAGGGAAGGGAAAAAGAGTGAAGTGTGTATAATATTCCCCCTCACTTCAACAAAGCTCTTTAAGGTGATGCATGCCTATCTTGTGTACAAGTTCAAAAACTTTGGTAGGCAATATTTTTGTGAAAAGATCTACAAGATTCTTATTTGAACGAATTTATCGACATCCTATTTTACTAGTGGTATTTTGAGTTCTTATGCAAAGAAAAACTTTGAAAAAATGTATTTGCTTTTATCTCCTTTGATATATCATTCCTTGTGCAATTCATGCAGTGTTGTCTTCATACAGTAAGGTTGGACTCCCTATAATTGTTGTAAGACCATATGTTTCTTAAACATGCTTGATCAAAGACCTTAAGCACACACATTCTCTGCTTGCCTCAAATAGTGCAACTTTTTCTAAGTGATTTAAGGATGTGGCTACAATGGTTTGTTTAGTTGAATGCTAAGAGATTACAATGCAACCACATGTGAATAGATATTTAGTTTGTGATCATCCTTTATATGGATTAGACAAATATCTAACATCTACATATCCAACCAACTCTAATTTCAAATTTTTGAATAAAATAATCCCTTGTCTTTTGTTCCTTAAAGATAATAAAATAAATGTTTAATGCTATTCCAATGTTTTTGTGTTGGTGCAAAACTATATTTTACTAATAAATTCGCAGAAAACACAATTTTAGTTGTGTATTATTGGCTAAATACATTAATGTACCTATGGCACTCAAATATGGTACTTTAGGATCAAGAATTTCTTCTTTATCTTCACGAGGTTGAAAAGGATCCTTTTTTATATCAAGAGATCGAACAAACATTGGTTAGCTTAAAGGGTGATATGAGCTTTATTCATATTAAATTTTTTCAATATTTTTCCTATAGTAATTTAATTAATGAACAAAAATTTCATTTGATAAGTGCTTGATTGATAGACCAAGACAAAATTTTGTTACTTTGAGATCCTTCATTTAAAATTCTTTCTTTAAACATTTAATTACATTTTGAAAGTCTTTAGGTGTCCCATTGATGTTTATGTCATCAACATATATCGCAATTATGGCAAAACCAAGTCTTTATCTCTTGGTAAAGATGCATGGACTAATGGGATTGTTTTTGTATCATTCTTTTAAGAGATATTTGCTAAGGCAATTGTATCACATTCATTTTGATTGTTTCAACCCATATAAATATTGTCTTAATTTTATTAAAAATATCTTCTTTGACATTGAGTTGTACACTTTAGATATTTTAAGTTCAATAGGGACTTTCATGTAAATATCACTATCAAGGGATCCACATAAGTAAGTAGTTACAACATTTATAAGACGGATTTGAAGGCCTTTAGAAATTGCTAGACTTATAAAAAATCTAAATATAATTTCAACCATCATAGAAAAATATGTTCCCTTACAATCAGTACAAGGATTTTGTGTAAAATCTTGAACTACAAGTTTGGCTTTATATCTCACACTCTCATTTTTCTCATTTTATTTTCCCATGAACACTCATTTGTAGCAAACAGGCTTTACATTATTGAAAGTTTGGACGATTGGTCCAAAAACTTGATGTTTTTCTAATAATTTTAATTCTCCTTGAATTGCATATGCAAAAACGTTGTCAATGACAACACCATTTCAGTTTCATTTTATCCTAAAAGAAATATAAGCTATTAAGATCTCATCATTATTTATAATTTTTGGATCTACCTTATTTTCAAGTACTTGAACCTTTTTTGAAATCATTTCCTTAGGTGCATTTTTTGACTATTGTTTAGAAAACTCTTTTCTCTTGACTCTACAATTTCAATGTAGCCAACATTTTGCTTTTACTTTCTTTTCATCTTTGGATTTTTATCTTTGTAATCAATAGGACTACCACACTTTTGGTGTATAGTAAATTCATTTGCTAATATTTAAGCACATTTTTCAATAGAAATATTAATTCAAGTAGGAGCATTTAAAGTTAGGATGTGTGAAATAGTTACTTTTTTTTGCCTCAATAAATGCATCAAGTAATTGATTTGCAATCTTTTGCAAATGAATAATTTTCTAAACTTCTAATTAATTTTGACTTGTTTGAGGATCTAAATGAGATATTGATAATGCATCCCAAGTAACTCTTGTTTTTCGAATTTTTGTTCCTTTTCCTTTGATGTAGGGAACAAGTTTTCATTAAAGTGACAATCAGTAAAGCTAGTTGTGAAAAGATCACTAGTCATTGGTTTAAGATATTTAATTATAAATGGTGATTTAAAGTCAATATAAATTCTTAGTCTTTTTTTGGAACTCATTTTAGTGCATTGTACTAGAGCAACAAGAATATATATAGTACAACCAAAAGTCTTTAAATGAGATACATTGGGTTCACTCTTAGAAATAAACTGTAATAGTGAATACTTATGATAAGTAGTTGGTTTTAATCGAATTAGTGCTACAATATGTAATATAGTATAACCCCAAGTAGAAGAGATAATTTCAATCTCATGATTAGTGGTTTAGCAATCAATGGTAGACACTAAGAGATTTAGCTATACCATTTTGTGCGTGTGTATGAGGAACTAGATACTCAACAATAATTTCAATTGACACACAATAATCATTAAATTATTGGGATGTAAATTCTCTTGCATTATCAAGTTGGATCCTTTTTATTGTATAATTAAGACATTGTGCCTTTAATTTTATTATTTGTGTAAGAAGTCTTGCAAATGTAATATTACAAGCAGATAATAGGCAAACATATGACTATCTTGTTAAAGCATCTATCAATATTATAAAATGTCAAAATGGTTCAGATGATATGTTTGTAGGCCCACATATATCTCCTTGTATTTGTTCCAAAAATTAAAGAAATTCATTTCTATTTTAATTGTAGAAAGCCAGGTAATTAATTTACTAAGGGAGCATGCAACACATAAAAAATCATTTGATAATAGAACTTCCAAATTCTTAAGTGGGTGTCTATGTGCACTTTTTATAAGTCTCCACATCATAATTGCACTTGGATAACCAAGTCAACTATGCCAAAAGACAGAGGCATCTGGATTATCTAATTTCTAGCTAGTTACAATAATGAGTTGAATTTATATACATATTAATGTGAAACTTCTGCTTTAATTTTATTGATATTTGGATGGGTTTTATGAGATTTTATTTGATTTTGTATAATTTTCATTCTTCGTGTAGGAAAGAGCTTAATTGAAAGAAATTGTTATTTTTAAGAGCAAATTACAAAGATCGGAAACATGAGGATTAAGTTGCATAGAATCCAAAACTTAGGGACCAGGACTACTATTTTTCCATAAAATAAAATTACTTAAAAGGCCAAAAACCCAACACGAGTTTTCATTCAGTGCTTTATTAAAGGTGTTGCTAGCTGTTGAGGGTGTTGACCCCTAATGTGATTTTTAGCCAGTCCGTGGTTGTACTTATTATTTTGGTGTGGGTCTCACAACTATTTCAATTAGGTTTTCTAAAATCCAATAAATACTTATCTAGGTTTAGAACTGAATGAGCTTTAGAGATTGGTGGCAACCCTCTTTTAGACAATTTTGAAGATCAAGATAGAAGATTCATTAACAATAAAAGATTAAGGATTTTAACTTTATCAAATTGAGTTTTATTTTTTTGTAAATTATTTTATCTATTACTTGATATTCTAATATTTATAACTAGGATTTCAAGTTTTGTTACTTTTATTATGAATTGATTTAGCCGATTACAACCATGTTGTAACCCAATCAACTTAACATAGGTTTTTGTTATTTTTATACTTTTGAAGTTGTTATTTTATAATGAGTATATGTTATTGTTCTTTATGCTTTTAAATGCTTGATCATCATTAAAATTGATATGGAGAGCATAATTGAGATCAAGGGGAGATTTTATGCAATAACTTTAAATAATATATACCATGAATTGAACGAAATCCAAAGATGGATAAATGTGATTTCTGCAATATTGGAAATAAGTAGACTTAATTTTCTACATAAACTAGAAAATTTCACAAAATATAATACATCTTTATCTATTTATATTCATTTAAAGATATAGTGGGTTAATAGGTAAAGATATATTTAGTATAACTTGAGAAAAAAAAATTGAATAGGATAATAAATCACATTGTCACATAATTAGTAACATCTTGAAAGTATAATAATTTAAAATTTATATTTGTTGGCTATGTAAAATCAATTCCTTAGTATCTCATATCTTGGTTAGCTTTATTTTAATTGTTTTTGCTTTATTATTTTTAATTAAAGTTTCTTCCTTTTCGATTGTTCAAATAAATTTAGATTAATTATTTTTGATACTTAATTAATCACAGTTTTTGTGGGCTCGACACTTTTCCCATTATTATATTACTTAGAATGACCAGCATACTTATTAGGGTGATTTCAATGATTCAAGTTTTTGGCGCTGTTGTTAGGAATTGTTGAATTTAATTAATATCAAAGTTGATTAATTTTATATTTAATTTGAATGTTTTCTTTTCTTTTATTTCTTTACTTTGATTTTTTTTTTTCGTTTCCTTTGTTTTTGTTTTTGTAGGTCTAATTATGAATCAAATTGTCATAGACATTAGTATGAACTATCAATGTCTTGCTCTAGGGTAAGAGCACAAATTGAAGCAATAACTATCAAATTGGGAAGCATAACTTGACAAAGATGAACTTGAACAACTTTAAATAGCCATGAAAAAATTCAAATTAAAGAAGGGTATAATAAAAAAAAAATTAATATCACTTGTCATTGGTGTGAATTAGAACATTTTAGTTCTGATTGTTATTTTAAACCATCTAACAATCATGTTGATTTTTTTGTGATTTTTATAACCAAAAATGTAATTCATATCCCAATACATACAACTTTGATTGGATAAATTATCCCAACTCCTCATGGAATAATGAAGATATATTTGAGCAACAATCAAGATTTCAAGCTCAAGAAGAGGATACATGTTTGGATGGAAATTTGGAAGTTCAGTTTAGTTATTTGCTGAACTTAATTGTTGAAGAATACAAGGTGAGTTATCTAGTGCAACAATGAAAAATCAAGAAGAAGAGGTTAACACTTTACCCTTGGAGGACATTGGAGGACAACTTGGAGAAGTAGAAAGTATACCTGCAGAAGCTAAACAAGAGGATGTCCCCATGGAAGAAGAGGGAAAAGTTTTAAGTGTCATTAAAGTTGTTTAGTGAAGAGTCCCATTAACCAAATTTAATTTTAATGATTATTTTGTTATTGATATGGTCGATGAGATTTTGCAAGTAAAACACTTATGAGGATCCATTTGAGATTTACTTTATTCAAGCAAAGGACCCAATCAAAGAATACATAGATTGCTTGAACACATCCTCATCTTACTTGGAATCAACAGGGGCAATCCTAGAAGAATTAGGAAGGCACATCTATTGGTCTATACCAAACCACCTCAGAATAATCAATGGAGAAAATCTTATGGTGAATTCAACTTAAAGGGTAAGAAAGCCAAGATTCAAGAAAACAAGAAAACAAGAAAACATGGCCTATGATTTGATCCAAAATTACCTTGGAGTGATAAAAAATCTAGCTAATGACTATAAATTAATCACTTCTTTGGAGGTAACCAAGCATAAATTTTTCTTTTCTTTTATTTATTTTTCTTTTATTTTAATAGTTTAGATTTAGATTTTAAATTTTTTTTTTTCTCTTTATGGCCAAGTTAATGAATAAATGTGGGGAAATTCACATCTCACTAAGTTTAAGGTGAATTTATTTGATTAGTTGAGTCTTTTGGCTTATAAATTTTTTATCTTTGATTTTAGCCAAGTCATTGACCAAGTGTGGGGGATGAGATTATGGAAATTCATATGCTAGAGGTCTCCTCTAATTGAATTAACTTTTAAACTTAAATTTTAAATCTTCAAGTGCAAAACTTGGGAACTTTCTCTTTTTCTTTTACTTTAATTTTACATTGAGGACAATGTTTGATTTCAGTTTGGGGGAGAGAATAACTTTTAAGTGTCCATTCTTACATTAGTTTGCATTCATATTTGCGTCACATAATTTTTTTTTTTTTTTAGAAATTATGGTATTTTTTTTTAAGAGTTACTCTAATTAGTGTCAAATAATTGAATGCCCTTGAGTTGAAAATTCAAAAACTTTTAAAATCTTTGAATATTAGAGGAGATACAAAATTTAAAAAATAACACCATTTTGATCAAGTTTAAGTTCATGTGTATTCAATTCTACTTGAAGACATGTTTGTAGTGAGATGTTTAGAGAGAAGTTTAGAGAGAAGACTTAGTAGCACCTAAAAAACACACAAAAAAAAAAAAACTGAAAAAAAAGAATGTTCAATAAATCATGAAATAATTGGGTAGTGGTGCCCAGTTCAAGCATTATCATTTACATGAAAAGTGATGAGTTTAGTAGCTCTTACAAAAAAAAAAAAATTGAAAGTTTCGTGGCCTTTGTTACTTATGTAAGCATGTTTTTATGGGTGCCTCTTCACCTAATACCCTAAAGTTAACTGGTTTAGGAGTCATTAATAGAAAAACTCATTACATGAGTAGCTTATAAAACCTAAGGGAACTTGACATAAAAAAAAGGAGAAAAAGAAAGAAAAAATGCTAAAGTGTAAAGGTCTAAACTAGAAACTTCTTGTCTAGAATTTTCACACACACACTAAGCACTCATGAGCTAAATTTTATTGATAAATGGTGTGAAGAATAGAATGAAGTATTTGACTTTAAGTGAGTGTATGAAAACTCTTGAATATTTGAGACTTTATATCTAACTGAATTTTAATTTCTAAATTTTCTTTGCATGCATATCATGTAGTTGCATTCTTGCATTGGATATCATGTAGTTGCATTCTTGCATTGGAATTTTGTGGGTAAATCTACTAAAAACCCTCATGAGACACAACTTGTTCATTAGGGTGACCTAGGGGTTTAACGACTTGTTGCACATGTTAAGTGCAATTGTGATTCTTACAAAAGTGAGTTAGATTTCGTTTTTTTTTTTTTTATTTTTTTTTTTTTTTTTTTTTTTTTTTTTTTTTGTTTTTATGTTTACTTGTTTATTTTATTTGATTTTATTTGAGGACAAGTAAAACTTAAGTTTGGAAGAGTTTGACAAGCTTAATTTATATACATATTATTATGAAATTTCTACTTTGATATTATTGATATTTGAATGAATTTTATGAGATTTTATTTGATTTTACATAATTTTCATTTTTTATATAGTAGAGGATTTACTTGGAAGAAATCATAATTTTTAAAAACAAATTGCAAAGATCAGAAACATGAGGATTAACTTGTTCAGAATCTTGAAGTTAAGGACTAGGACTACTAGTTTGCCATCAACCAAAATGGCTTAAAAGGCTTGTCACGCCGCAGAACCCAAATCCAAGGCGCGACAAACGCCGTGCACTTGTGAAAGGATTCCACAAATGCACAAGGCTCAGAACTTAATCATATCACAATCTGATACCACTCCACAACTTAAATCAAACATCTCAATTTATTTCTATATCCAAATGACTTAAATCCAAGTAATTGATCTAATGATCGAAATCTGTTTTAATCTCATAAATTCAAGGTAAAATCTATTTTACAAAAGCATGATTTATTTCTAAAATCTATATCAATCTCAAAATGGCTAGCCTTCTAACTCGTCACTTCTCATGGTTTCCCCGTCCTCGGTTTCGCTTCCTGAAATGGTGGATAAGGAAAAACTTGAGAAAACTCAGTAAGTAAAATATGTAGTGCCCCTTATTAAACTTATAACATGCCAACAAGTGTAATCACGAAAAACGGATACAGTACGGGAATGAAATAGACGTCTCCTCTATAGGTCACGGCCAGTGTCATAAACCTCCCACTGGCAGGCACACGATTTACTAGTGTATAATCCAACTAGCAGGATAACAGAAACGAATCGGTTCTATCAGTAACATGTCGACATGTGCTAACATTTATAAACCTCCCACTAGCTAGCACACAAATAACATGACCATATCAAAGACAAAATAGGCAGAAGTTAACAGAAAATCATACTTTACAGATAATTTCCAAATCATCAAGGTAGTTAAATAAACTCCAAGCAGGCATACTCAAATCAATAAAAAGAATAATAATCTTATTTCAAATCAATCATGTTCATTTTTGTATAAAACGGGTTTGGTCCCGCCACCACTTCAAAAACAAGTTAAAATATACTTTTAAAATCGAAGGGCGTTACCATAATTTACTTACCTCACCCGCATAAAACTGAAGACTCGATCTCAGAGCTAAACTGACAGAACGATCAGAAACCTAATCAAAATATCCAAGGATTAATTAACGTACTACCACAAATTCAAACTGAAATCATCATTAGGACTACCCTTAATCACGATGCTATTTCTATAAGTCTCCATATGACTGGACATCTCCAAATTTGTTTTTATATTACAAACTAAACATTTAAATCTCCGTTAATTGTTGGCCATCAGTGCGTGAACAGTACCCATGAACAGTGCCCGTGAACAGTGATCACGGCGTGAACAGTAACTGCACTTCCATAAATTGGCAAAACAATGGCTAATTCACAGGATTTTTCTCTAGACAAATTCACAACAATTACTCAAGCTAATTTCCACTTAATTTAAACAAAACCCACTTAAAGCTACCGAAATTCCCCCATTTTTCCAGAAAAATTCGGACAACACAGAGCAGCCACAACAAGGACCAAATTCAGCAAAGGCAACAACCAATTGGATAAAATTTAGACTTAAGGGAGGTTGTCAACTTACCCACAATTTTCCAGCAAGCAAAACCGGACCTGGTGGAGGGAAGAAGCCGGCAGCAGTGCAGGGGAAAATCAGCAAATCTACCGAAAAATTGGGAGAACCAAGAGGATTCAGAGTAAACCCAAGCCACTTAAAGCTAGAGAAGGGAGATTCATGGCTGTTCTTACCGAAAAATCAGGGAATTTCTCACCCACAAGCAAGAGCAGCTGGTGGAAGGACAGAGCAGAGCAGGGCAGATCCGAAAATTCTGCAGAGGGGAAAGATTTCAAGGCTCCAAATCTGGTTTTCGAACAAGAAAAGAAAGGCAAAAACCAAGCTTCTTACCGGTTTTCTCAAGGGGAGATGCGTCGGGGCTGGGGGAAGAAAAGAAGAGCAGAAACACGAAATGGCTAGGGAAGAAAGAAGGAAAAAAATAGTGGATCCTTATCCAAAATCTTTCCTCTTTTAAGTCTCTCAAGTTTCAAACTTTTGGCTATTAAGTCCCAAACAATATTTTCCTCACAATCAAGTCCTTAACTAAGTGTTAAATAGCACAAAATTTTGGGATATTACAAGGCTAAAACCTAACAAGGGTTGTCTTACAACACATTATTAAAGGTGTCGGCAGCTTGTCTTATGTGTTTTTAGCAAGCACCTGTACCTTTATTTTGGTGTGGGTCCTATGTCTATTTCAATTAGATTTTCTAAAATCCTATAAATACTAATCCAAATTCGTAACTGAAAAAGCTTTATAGACTAGTGGCAACCCTCTTTGAGCACTCTTGGAGATCAAGATATCTAGATGATTCATTAATAATAGAGAATAAAGGATTTTAATTTCTTCAAATTGGTTTTTTGTTTTTCCTTATATTATTTTTATCTATTGTTTGATATTTTGATATTTATAACTAAGATTTCAAGTTTCTTACTTTTATTATGAATTGATTTAGCCAACTAGAACTACAATGTTGCCTAATCAATTCAACTTAGATTTTTGTTATTTTTATATTTTTAAGATTGTTATTTTATGATAAGTATATATTATTATTCTTAGTATTTTTTAATACTTGATCACCTTTAAAATTAGTATAAAGAGTATAATTGAGATCGATAAGAGATTTTATGCAATAACTTCTAATAATATATAACCATGAATTAAATGAAAACTAGAGATGGACTAATGTGATTTGTGCAGTATTAATAATAAGTGAATTTAATTTTCTATGTAAATTAAGGAATTTTATAGGACATAATGTATCTTTATCTATTTAAATTTATATAGAAATATAGTGGGTTAATAGGTAAAAATAGATTTGGTATAATTTTAAAAAAAATCAAATAGGATAGAAAATCTCATTGTTACATGAGTAATAATATCTTGAAAGTATAATAATCTAAAATTTATATTGGTTGGTTATGGTGAAATTGATGCCTTAATATGGTGAAATTGATGCCTTAATATCTTATATCTTGATTAGTTTTATTTTAACTGTTATTTTCTTTTTATTATTTTTAATAAAAGTTTCTTCATGTTTGATTGTTCAAATAAATCTAAATTAATTAGTTTTGTACTTAGTTAATTACAATTCTCATGAGTTTGACAATTTTTTTTATTATTATATTATTTGAAGTAACTAGTACATTTATTAGAGTGATTTTAATGCATTACATGGCATTGGATTCTATTGGATCTATATGTGTAAAATACAATCCGTAAGAGAAAGTTAATATGTATTTTTTCAATATTTTCTTTTTTCCAAATGCAAAGTTGTGATAGGTAAGAATACTATTCCATTTTCATTTAGGTTTCAATAAGAAAATTATTACAATGTATATTCTTTAAACTTAATAGATTTCAATTTGATCTACTAGAATACAAAACATCTTGTGTTAATTATTTTGTTTCTCCAAGCAATAAAACACAAGTTTTTCTAGAGCCTTCAATCAATTTTGTCATACTAAATATTGTATGAACATTAGTCTTAGTTAACTTTAATTGAAAAAAGTAATTTTTGTTTTCAAAATGATATGTGTTGTGTCACTACTAACAAGACATAAGTTTTCATCATTGATCTTCGCATAATACAAGATCCATTGATCTAAAATAAGAATAAAGGAAACAAAAGAACAAAAAATATTCAAATATTATAAAAACAATATATATTTTGTAAAATGATTTATTCTTTTATTGAGTATAAAAAGACATGTAGAAAAAAGAAATAGCTGCTTAAAGCAAACTACTTAAGAGGATATAATAAATTAAATTCTTGATTAGGCATTTCAATCACCAACACTATTAAACTTTTCAACAGTTTCAAGAAAATTTGCAATATTAAGGTGTGTATCAAGATCCATATTGTTATGTTCAATAAAATTTATTTCTAGATCTTTTCCCTTTTTGCTAAGTGAGGCTTGGTAAAGATCAACCAAATGCCTAGTTGTGCGACATGCATGCTTCCAATGTCTTTTGATTCCACATCTATAACACACACTCTTAGGATCCTTTGCAAGCTTCTTCTATAAACTTTTACCCCTTACATTTTTTAGCAAATTCATACTTGGGGTTAAACTACTACAATACCAAGTATGGCTTCGACCATGGCAACGGTCATTGCCATGACCATAACCACGGCTATGGCCATGCCTATTATTATTTATAAGGTTGCATTCACTTCACAGAATTGGACTGAATCAGTAGGTTGTAATTAATGATTGTTCATCTAAAGTTCTTTTTTTTTTTTTTTTTTTTT